GTCCTTTCCTCATCCCTTACCCACAGGATCAAGTGGGCTCCTACTCACTGGTTTACTGTGAATTTCAGAGTGTGTCTGGGAGACCTTGGCTATTGAGGATGACATCAGTATTCCCTTCCTTTGCCCTTGCTGAGAAGGTGGATGCAGGCACGGAGTCATTGACAGGCTCATGACCTGCACCAGAGTGGCAGCTCTGCTCTCACCTTACTCAGCACAGCATACACCACCAGGGAAGGTCTGTGAGTCCTAAGTGATTTCTTTCCTGAGTATCATCTACATTGACCTGAGCAGGACCCCCAGTTTGGGATTTTCACAGGTCATATCTACCAGGGGAGAATATACAGATAAAGTCAAATCAGATGGTTTATTAACTCTGCTTATTTAAAGACCCATTTACTTGAAGCAACAGTAACCACACCATACTAGGTTGTTAATCTGCTACCATTTCCAGCCTTTCCCCAGAGGCTGCTCAGGAACTGTCTTCTTTATCAGCTTAGAAGGCTAGCCACTATGCTTTCCTTCTTTTGGCTTAACTTTCCAGCTACCCATTTGGGCTATCAAATTAAACCAGCCGACCCAAGGTTATTTTCTTCTCTGAAGCTGAACAGAGAATCTACTGAAAGAATATTTTGTTTCCCTTTCAGGCTCATATGACTCACAAACAAGACAGAAAGCTCTCAAACATCCTGCCCCAAGACCTTTGGCAGCTCAGCTCCACAGCTAGGTGACTGCCCTCTCATAACCAACGATACTTTGCTTTCCTTCTTCTAATGAAGCTATAGCCTTTGCCAGTGGCTCGTTTCCATCAGGAATTTTAATCTAACAGCAGTTTTCCTGCTTATGTTTGTTCCAGGAGAAGCCCACTAATCAATGGTACCAGGATATTCAGCATCTCCTGAGCCTGTGATGACTTTACAGAGTAGAACCAGGCTTCCTTCCCTGGTCTGATATTTTTGCTTGCTAGTCACTCCTTGGGTCATTTTCCTAGCAGGTTCTGTCTGCTGCCTTTTAAGAATCTTCAAGCTTTTACTTTTCATCTTGTTTTAAATTCCTTATGCATCTCTTTCTCTTGCACTCTGATAAGTCATTCTCCTGTTATTTTACATAAATAAATATTTACAATTACTCTCTTTAGAAACAAAATACATCCACCTGACATCTTTTCTGTCCATTATGACAATAGTTAGGGTTCCTGCAGGGAAAAGAAAAACAAACCCTGATGATTGGCTCAGATATTCCAGCCCTGATCCCAACTCCCCCAATGTCAGGAATCATCCCTTGTTTCTGTATCCATTCTCTCCTGCTCTTTCTCTCACAAATGCACAATGACCTCTGCCCACAGCACAGCATCAGAGTGGCTCCCAATGTCCCTTCTCTGTGCTGCCCAGCCATGGCTGTCACCCCATACAGCTCTTCTTCACAGCCCACCTTGCCCATCACCATGGCTCCAACAGTGTCAGTTCACAATAAAACTGAATTCTTTCCTGCAGCTCTGCCACATGAAGTGTGGTTGCAAATATGTGCCTTCCTGACTCAAAGAGGATGAACTTAGTGCCCAGTGAGATATGTTCCTTTTCGTCAGGAAAATAATAGGACAAAGGCAAAGAAAATGTGGGGAGTACTGCCAATAGTGCTCTGATATCCCATTGAGTTCTTTTAAATGATCCACCATGTTTCCAAAGGACTATGAATCAGTATTGACTGTAAGAGCCAACTGAATCAAGGGATGCACTTGTGGCATGCATAGAAGGCTAGAAGAAGCACTGAGATGCAGTTATTTTTCTTTAGATGCTTCTGGTAATTTAAATACAGTCCCATCTCTCTGCAAAACCTTGGGCCTAGATGAGCAGTAAAGGGGAGGAGAAGGAAGGAGGAGGAGAGGAAGAGGGTCTTTCCACTACCTGAATTTGGAAGGTGGGTTCCTTCAGTCTGGTTCTTACAAGGTGCAGTCCTACTAAAAAATGACTACAGAACTCAATGCCTTCATCATGTGAGTGCAGCAGTTCAGGAAACTCAGGGCAGAGCTCTGAAAAAGGAAATGTAAATGACACCACAAACACAAGTGGTAGAGTGGTAATCACATATCCTCTAAACAGAGAGAGAGAGATAGCTTTCCCAGGATTTTCCTAGGAAGCTGTGAGAAAGCTTAGAGAAAAGAATGAGAAAAAATTCTTATCTTCACTTGCTGCACTTGTTGTTGTGCACATGTGGAATGTGTTATGGAGATTTGTTTACCAAAGGGTGATTTCTTAACTGAATAATGGAGATCATATTTGGATTTCAAGGACCAATGTGGTCTGTCAGTAGCGGACTGTCAGCAAGAGCAATGAGTGTTTCTTAATAGAATAGTATAATATAGTGTAGTCTTATATAATAAAGTGATTGATCAGCCTTCTGCAATCATGGAGTCAATGCTAATTATCCTGGCTGGGGGCTTGTGGCGACATGATATGACATGGGTGGGGTATGACAGGTTACCCTGAAAATAACCTGCTGAGCTGCCCATCCTGGGGGTCTTCACTGCCATGTGGAACCACTGCTAGATGCTGTTTTAATATGTTATAATACTATTTCCTGGAACATTTTCTCTAGAAATGACACTTCAGCACTGTGAGACCCGACTCTTTGGATCTGACATGACATTCAAAATGCATCTAGAAACAAAGATGCACTGTTGCTTGAGATTGATGGGACTCTAAGGTGGAGTTAGCAGAAAACAAAGATCCAGCTTATTCTTCTTTCCCCAATTATTGTACTAACACTTTTCCACCCTACAGTCTGTTTCCCCTTTGCTTTATAGTTACTACTTTGTGGCTTGTAAGCTTTTTTATTTCTGACCTGTTGCTATGCAAAGATATGTAAGGACAGAAATAAAAGTACTTTTAGGCTAGAAGTTTCCAGACATACCTGGAAAATACCTGAATGTTTTTTGCCAACTACAGGAAAGACAAACTATTGCTTAAGAACATTCTCTCTGCTAAATGGGATTGGTTTCAGAATTTGAATGTGCACTGCTGAAATTCATTCTTTAAATGTGAAATTGCATCCTGGTGCTGAATACAAATAATTGACTAAGCTGATAGAGAACATTTGAGCAATCACTAAAATAACTGAGAATGTAAGTGGAATTAATTCACCTTCAGTGTAAATGGAATTAATTCATCTTCTGTCCCCACTGTCAGATTTCTACCAGAAAAATGAGAACTTACTGCTTTTTTCTTAGAAGTTTCTTAAAATGCAGATGCAACTAAAGCACTAAAGGAATAGCTTATTATATATTTTTAATACCAAACAGCTCTGATTAGCAAGTAACAATGACACATAGGTATGTCTCAATCCAGCCTTGAGGCTGTGAGATTATGACAGAATCTTTGGCCAACTGTTATTTTTTCCACATTTTATCAAGCAAACATTGACAATACATGCATGACAGGAGCCTCACTAACAGTTTGCTGGGTATAAAGGTGATTTTCAGTGTTTTGGCCAGAAGAACAGAGTGTGGGATTTTACCATAGAACAGACTGTGGGGTGGGGGTCTGCCCAACAGGGTCTTGCGGACAAGAACCCAGGACTGCCCTGTGGAAAATGCTCCACTACAAGGAGCAGGCTCTGGCATTTTCCTTCATGTTTACTTCTTCTACTATGGTTTCAGCAGAGATGACAAGTCTTCCCTCTTTTTAAGGGCAGTTTATCTGTTGAACTGTTATTTAACAGGACAGCTCAAATGTCTTCTGTAGACACACAAATGTGTGGCACAGGAGAAGGCAATAGAAACATCACATTCACAAAGTTCTTCAAAACAAATTTTGAGGTCTGATGTTATTGCAAAGCAATTTGGAATATATCAGGGAAAATAAATCCTGGTGACTCCTGTACCTCACTGTTAACTAACCTCAACACAATGGAAAAAGCACACCCCAATTGAAAAGAAATGGTAACAAATTTAAAGGCTTTTTTAGCATCTTAGAGAGCTTGAATGTAATCTGTCTAAGATACTAAATGGGTACAGCAGAGAGATAAAGGTACAGCCTTTAAGTCTACATCTAGGGTTTATTTTATGTACAGGCTTAAAATACGCACCCCTTTGTTCACTGTGAAAGCCATGGGGAGGATCTATAGGTATAGCAGGCCCTGACCTGCCAACCTCAGTTGAACCATCTCAAATCTAACACTGAAGGAACACAGGACATTAGTTAGAAGCATCTGTATTGATTCAGAATAACAGACAGAAGATGGGAGACAGCAATTTGCCATAAACTGGTGAAAGTTCCTCAGAGAAGATGGAGTCAGAGCTCTCGCTTTCCCCTTCCTTCGCACAGAACGTGACCAAAGGGAAGTCTTGCTGCTGAAACTGTAAAATCTATTAAGAGGATTTCCAGTGCCCTGGCTCAGCTGACAACTAATTTGTTTTGTCTTTGCCTAGCAGGGATTTTCCATGCAGTGGACTCTTGTTTGCTATGTAAGTCATCCGAGTATTTGTTAGTGTCATAGCCAGAGCCAGATGATGTTTATTCTGCTAACATCCAGTCGGGCTCTGGCAGCACTCATTGAGGTCAGGGCTTTATTTATAGAAGCAGATATACATTGAGATTAATTTTCTTTCTCTTGCCGTATTCTACCTAAACTCATCCAAAATAGAAAGAAACATGCAGACATGCAAGTAATAAACTAATTGGGCCAGATCCATGCATTAGCACAGCACCACAGAGGCCAATGGAAAAAAAGCATTTTTGAACAGCTGAGGATCTTGCCCATTATTTCTCATGGGGAAGGGAAGGGAGGGGTTTAAAACCAGAAATTATAAAGCAAAAAAGCAAAGCCAACCAAGCAACAAAATGTCCTAACTTGTGGCAGAGCCGATCTGCAATGCAAACCCCTCAGCCGAGATTTGCAATTCAAAGTTGTTTTTTTTCCTCCTGTGCTCCCAATCATCAGAAAGTGCAAGAATCAGAGTGCAGAGTGCTCCAAGCGAGGAAAAGTAATGACTTAATGCAATTTACCTGCTGAGAGTGAGAAGACATTGTCAGCGTACGCAGTCTGAGACAAAGCAAAGCAGAAGAAAAGCAGCAGGTAAGATCCCCAGACAAGCGGGCTGAGGACCAACATGCTGCCTCTGCCCTGGCAGATCCCAGCTCAGAGGCACAAGGCTGCTTTGGGGCTCTCTCTCTCCCCTCTCTCCCTCTCTGCCTTGCCTGCTCTCTGCCTCTGCCCTCACTATGGGATGCGTGTGTGTGTCTGTCTGTGTACGTCTCCCTCTCTCTCTCTCTCTCTTCCCCCTCCCTCTCCGTGCCTTTAGGAAGAAAGAATGCCAACCATTTCCCATTAAATCTTCTCCTTACACTAGACACAGTTATATTTAACTCCTGTGCTGGATCAGTTGCCCCTATTGTGGACATTAGCTGCTAAAACTGAGGCATGGGGGATTCTGGTTTTGCTAACAGAGGCAAAAAGGCTCTTTGGATAATAATAATGATGAGCAGGAATGGGAGAAATTAAGAACTGGACTGTAAACAGAATCCTTCGATACAGGCAACCAGACACCGGCGTCGAGATGGATAAAATCCCTGATTGATCATCTCCTACAGGTCACTAATTGCCTTAATGAGAGATGAACAGTGACCTACCATCTGCTCATCCCTGGTAGCTACGCATCTTGCATTTGTGTACAGAGTGCAGCTCAAGGTGAGGGGTGCCACAAAGGATTCATGAACCAACAGACACATTATTATTTTGGATTTAAGTGAAAATGACAGTATCACTGACAGTGCCAGACATTGTGGGATTGCAGAGTTCACTGATGGGGTTGTAACAGGGGGAAGAAACAATACAAGTGCCATGATGGGGTGAATTAAACACTATCAGCTCTGGGGGTGGAGATGGACAACACACTACACAGCACCATGTGAAGAAAACAAACCTCCTAGATTTCAGAGAATTCAGAAATTCTCTGAAAAGCAGCAGGTGCCCTTGCTACCTGTACAAAGGTTTGGGGTTCCTGTGCCTTATTGCAACATGCAAGGCTTTACAAATTAATTTGTGTCCTTTAAATAAGTGGCAGAGAGATCTTCCTTTCTGTGTGGAATCTGACAGTGGTTTCCATGAAAATCAGAGGTCCATCCTTTGCTGTGTAAAACATTACTGTCTCCCAGATGGAGATGGTTTTCTTTGCCCACTGTTTATAGTTTCCCCCAAGAAAAGCATGAAAATACTTTGGTTTAATTATAGAATTGATGCTTTTTTCCCATTTGAGAAGAGTTCTCATTGACAGAAATGGTGACATGTCCCCCTGGGCATTAATTCCACTGAAGAGCAAAGTGAAATATTTCCACAATTCTGGTTAAACAGTCTTGGCTGTTACTTTCAATGCACGGCAAACATATTGACAAAATCTTTCTAAATGTAACGGCTAGATGGGAAGAGTCACATCTGCCTTATACATTTTTATCCCTAAAGGATATGCTTAATATAGCCATAATGCTTTCTAAAATATGTTTCCAGTACTGCAATATTTTGGATAACATATTTTCTACTTTAATTTAATCTTATCTGCTTTACTCCACTGCCTGTTACTGTTTAGTATTTGGCTTTTCTTAGTGAAGATAGTAATTTGGTATCTTTCATCTTTGACCAAGATAACCATAGATTAAGTGAATGCCATTAGTTTTCTTGGCATGCTACATCTCAGTGGGAAAGGAATAACTCTTGGGAAGTTTATCATGACAAGCCCCAAGCATACAAGATAAATGTCCAGCTGCAATCCCCATGTCAGAAGCCTGCATGGAGGCTGGAAAAAAATTGCTCATAAGACATTTTTGTCAAGATTATATTAAAATATTCAGCTCTGAAAATAGGTGACCAACACAATAGTTAGTCAAAGGAACAAGTCAATAATTTCAAATCCGGCTGAAATCCTCCTGCAGCCTTTTAGCAATTGAAAATTCAGTAGAAATTTCTAGTACAAAACAAGTTCTGTTTGATAAGAAAATAATTCAATAATACTAGAAAGAACTAAGATCATGCAGTAGGACCAATATCTTTCCCCTCCTTCTATGATTCTATATCAGAGGTAGCCAGAAGTAATACAGAAAGCCGGGCTGGTTCAGAGTTAGAAAAACACATCAGTTTGCAGAATTGCAGTCTTTAAGAATTGCAGTAATTCTTAAATAGAGACTTTTAAATCCACTTATTGCTGTGGAGAACTCTGATTAAAGTGGAGGTTTTGTCAATGTTCTCCTTTCTTTCAGCATAGCATCTCCAACACTGAGCCCGTTTGACCTGAAATGGCTTTCAGCCAATGTGAGAAGAAAGCTCTGTGGGCACACCCTCTTCAGTGGAAAACACATCATCTCCCGCAAAAACTTGAAATGAGATGTTTGGACTTATATTTGTTTGAAGAGACCTCTTCTTCATGATGTAGTTCCATTCCCTCTTTAGCTTTTAGCGGAGAGCTCTCAGTACAGGGCAGTGAGCCAGGCCATGTCAGAGTGCAAGTCCTGTGTTCTGTCTCTGATTTTGAGGTGTTGGCCTTACCAGCAGAGACTGCTGGCAAGGTTGGTAGTGGTTTCACGGGAGAAGGACAAAGTCCATTGGAAATAAACTGGACAATAGCTGTGGCCTTATTGGTGGGACTCAGGCAGGTGGCAGCACAGCAGATGGATGTTCCCTGCTCCAGGCTGGATGGAAGGCTGTACACCTGCTCACACAGCTTCTGTCTGACCTACACGGCAGCAGTGCCTGTGGCAGAGAGACTCTTGAGGAGGGAACGTGTCACGTAGCAGGGGGAATCTGGCATAAGAGACTTGACAAACGTGTGCTTTCCAGGCCCTGAGCCCTGAGAACTTGCTCAGCCAAGCAATGCATTTCTCCAGCTGATGTTTTATTACTTTTTTTTTTTTTTTTTTTTTTTTTTTAATTAGTGGTAGATGCCACAGCAACTAAAAATGCCAGAACCCAGCCAACATAATGAAAACAACAGCCTGGAAAGTTTGTCTGTTCAAGGAGCTGTTGCTTGACCTTTTCAGCCCAAACTTGAACTCTTAGAAACGTGTGGAGGAATCTGCTGATGACACTGCCATGTAAACAGAATTTATGAACCTTTTTCTATGCAAGAATTAATGAATACTTTTTAAAAAGAAAGCTTCTTCCCAGCCCTGTTCAATTTTGGTTGGCAGGTACTACATCAACGAGACAAGGTAGAATGAATATAGTTAAAATACCATCAATCTCAAATTCTTTCATTAACACCATTCTAGTTAGAAGGACAAAGATAATCATGGAATAATTTGGGTCATCTAGTCCAAACCCCTGCAATAAGCAGGGACATTTCAACTAGATCAGGTTGCTCAGAGCTCTGTCCAGCCTGGACTTGAATATGGAAGGGGCATCCACCATTTCTTGGGGTAAACTGTTCCACTATTTCACCATCCTCACCACAAAACATTTCTTCCTTTTATCTAGCCTAGATCTACCCTCTTTTAGTTTAAAACCATTCCCCCTTATCCTGTTGAGATACTCAATATATAATTGAGACTTTCTAGTTAAAAATTCTGAAAGCACTTTTGCTGAGAGGGGCAAAGGTAAAACAGAAACACCAAGTTAATGCAGTAATTCAATAACAGCTCATGTCTGCAAAGCAGTACAGAAGAATCCTGTTCATTCAATTAGAACAGGAGCTGGAAAAGAATTTTTATAATTACATTTTCCTTGTGAGGTAGTTATTTAGCACCAATTGTTTTTCACAATAAAAATGCATGTTCAGTTTTGCACACTTGACTCAGTTGTGTCTAACACTTAGATTTAGTGCTATGACAACACAGCTAAGATCACCTTGGAAGACGGTGTTACCTAAAAGTAAAATGGCAGCTGCTGAAGCAAAATCATAATGAGTGCAGAAAGCCAGTGAGTGGCTTTCCATTTCCTTGGTGTTGTATTTAAATTTAATTCAGAAGCCCATGTAGGAACAGACCCCCTAACTGTGATGAAGTAAACCCAAGCACATGCACACTTGATGGAGCTCTGGCTCACCCAGCCAGGCCAGTCTCCCCGCTGGATGTCGAGACAGGAGCAGGTGGGCAGCTAAAGGCAAGCCAGCACCAGTCAGTCTTCACATTACCACCCACTGCACAAACAGGGTGAAGGAGGACATGGGTGGCAGGACATTCATGATCAGCAATTTCCAAAAGCAACTCCTTTTTGCAAATCAGGCACTTAATGGATGTTATACATTTCACAACAAGCAGCAGCCTTCTGGCCTCCTCTTTTCTCTGTACTCTATGGTTCACAGAAATGCAAAACTGACTAGGGAAGCCGATTTATCTCTACACCTTTCAGAGCATATTTGTTTACAGAGCAGCCCAGCTCTCATTCCATATTTAGAAAGTTCATCTTGAAAGGTTAACTTTAGACTTCATTCAAAGGCTCAGTCCTTCACTTTTTTATTTTCACTCCAATGAGTAATCCCCATGCACACATTTCCTTTTCTGCTGAAGACTATAGAACAAAAGAGTTAAGGACATGATTAAAGTTTATAAGATAATTCAAAGTGACTTCCATCAAAGCCACCAAAACCACCCCACTTGAGTCCTTGTAATGTTGGAGGGCAGAACTAAGTAGAACAACTTTAAAACAGTAATTCAAGTGCTGACCTTTATAAAAGTGCTCTTCTTCCTGTTTTTCACTTCATTTTCCTTTTAAACCTTGCCTTTCAAACTGCAGAACATGCAATGTTTCTTAGATGAGATGTAGTCATCATACATGCTCACACATAAGCAGAGAATAAAGATACATGTCCAGGATTGCCAGGTTTTAAAAATCTGGGGCAAACATGCAAAACCTCAGAATGATTCATAGAAAAATGTCCTATAGGACAAAGAAAATGGCCTTGACAGCTGTAGTCCCAGCCAACTGTGGTCTCCAGTCACCCGTATCTAAGTAGATAAATTATCTTCAGCATCCTCAGATGGTGAATCACAAACAAGTCACAGCTATCACCCGGTCTGGTCTTGGTACTTGCAACTAGAGGAGATGGAAATAGTGTGCAGGGCAAATTTTTTTCATCTTCTTTTCATTTGGATTCTCTACTGCAATTTACTTCTATTAGTAAATGTCTGAAGAACTCACTGTCTGTATGAGTATTGCTGCCATGCTGCCGGAGGCACAGAACACAGGAATATCTGGCAGTAATTGGCTCCCACAACT